AAATATTAANATTTAGTTTTTTTTTTTTTTTTTATTAAAAATATATTTAAATAAATTATTTAATTTTTTTTATTTTTTAAAAAAATATTATTATTTTTTAAAAATATAATAAATTATTAATTCAAAAAAGTTTTACTTACTATATAAATAATAATTAAAAAATTTTTTTAATTATAAAAATATTATTAAAAATTAAAATTGTATATTTTCTATTAATAAAAGCAATTACATTTGTGTATATTATAAAAGTTGAAAAAAAATATTATTAGAGTGTAAATATTTTTTTATAAAATTATTTTTATTTAAATATTTTAGCTATATATATTAATTAAATAAATTAGGTCAAAAAAATTAAAAAATAAATTACTAATAATAATATTAAATAATTATGATAAATTGATAAATTATTAAAAATTTTTTAATAAAATTATATATTTATTTTATAATATTTTCTAAAAAATATAATTTATAAATTTTAGTTAAAAATTTATTGTTTTTTAATATTAATGATTTCTATTTATAAAAAATGAATATTTTTTTAAATTTTAAAAATAAAAATATTTTTATTAACTCTAACTATACATTTTGTATTATGATTAAATTATTTTGAATAATTAATTTTATAAATTAATAAAAAAAATTATAAATTTTATTAACAAAATAAATGCTTTATTAAACATTCTATAAAACTATATTAACATTTCCATGGAAAAATTAAATTTAATAAATTATTTATGAAATATAAAATATTACTTCTAGTTAAATAGATATATATATTTTTGTAATTTTTATTTTATATATTAATTATATAATAGAAATATTTATTTATTTAATTACTATACTAAATAATTATAATAAAATTATTTTTTAAAATTCTAATTTCAAAATTAACTTTTTAAAATATTACAAGTAAAACAAAAGAATAGTGAAACTAAGTTTTATCTTTATTTTTTATTTATATAAAAAAAAATATATTAATTAATATATATAAAAATAATATATATTTTTATTTTATTAATAATAAAAAATATAAATATATAAATAAATAAATATTAAGTAAAATGCCAAAAACTATGAGAAAGCGTCTTTGCATTAATCAGCTTGAGTAGCGAAAGATGCGTAATTTGCTTAAGCACCTTAAATCAATATATTAGGACAAGGAAAACATATATCAATACCTGCTACCCAATCTTCTTGTTTTTCAGTATAAAAATTAGGAGCACATTTAACACATTCAGATTTTTTATTTTCAAAAGTTGTTTTTCCATCCTTAACTACAGTACCAGCAGGACATTCAACATCACATTATATTTCTTTTTTAGCATTTGAACCTTAAGTCTCTATTGCACCAATAATTTTTTTTACTGGACAAGGTTCACATGTACTAATACCATAGTTTTATTAAATATTTTTATCATTAAAAATATAATATCGTATATATAATGTTTAAGTTTTAGTAAATTTTAAAAAGCTATTTAATTTACTCACATATATAATAATTTTTAGTTTTAAAACAAATTTGTAATATTTATATAAAATATATTATGTATTTTTAATAATATTTCCTTTCTTTTAATTTTAAGACATTATTAAGCAAAAAATTATTAATAAATATATTAAACTTAAATTTATTAAATAATATAATAAAATATTAATTAAATTAACATTAAATATAAAATGAAAATATATTTTTTAAAATAATTAAAATTTATTTTTTATAAAATATAAACAAATATTATAAAATTTTTAATTAATATAAAGAATTTTTATTATTTTTAACATTATTTATATTTATTTAATGCAGAAAGATTAAAATACGTATTATATTTATAAAAAATATATTATAATATAATTATATTATGATTAGTCAATATTAAAAAATTTAAAAAATAAATTTATTTATTTTTATTTCAATTTATTAAAATAAAAATATTTTAATTATAAAATATTTTTTTTTTTATATTAAATATATACAATATTTTTTTTTATTTTTTAAGGAATAAAAAAGATATAATAAAATAATAAATAAAAATAATATAAAAAATTTTCACATATTTTTATTAAAAATTTTAATAGTTATATTTTTATTTATTTATTTCTATTAAAAAGTTAATTAATTATTAATTTAATAAAAATAATTTTATTTGGGTATTTTATAAAAGTTGCAAAAAAAAATATTATTAAAAATTAAATATTTTATTTTAAAAATATTTTTATTTATATATTATAACTAAATATATTTTATTAAATAATGTTAGAGCAAAAAATAAAGCAATATAATTAATTTTAATAATATTATTCTATAATTATAATAAATAAATAAACAATAATTATTTTTCTTATAAAAATATATATTCATTTTTTAATATGATATAAAATATATAATTAATTATTTTTTATAAAAAAAACTAATAATTTAAACGCATGATCTATATAATTTTTTAATAAATAAAAAATAAAGATTATATAAAATTTTAAGATATTTATAAAATTATAATTTAAAAAAAATTTATATTATTTTTTATTATTTAAACTAAAAAAATTAATAATTTTATTATATTTTACATTTATATAATATTTAGTAATGAAAAAATATTTATCATAAAATGAATAATGAATTTATATATTTTTTAAATATAAATATTTTCTTTTTTTTTAAAAAAAATATAGAATAAATTAAATATAAAATATATTTTCATATTTTGTAAATACGTGTTAAAAATTTATTGTTTTTTAATATTAATGATTTTTATTAATAAAAGATTAATATTTTTTTAAATTTTAAAAACAAAAATATTTTTATTTTATATAATTATTTTTATTAAAACTAACTATTCTTTTATATTAAGATTATATTATTTTGAATAATTAATTTTATAAATAAATAAAAAAAAATATATATTTTATTAACATAATAAATGCTTTATTAAACAATCTATAAAACTATATTAAAATTTCTATGGAAATGAAAAATTAAATTTAATATATATAACTATTTTTTTTGTAATTTTTATTTTATATATAAATTATATAATAGAAATATATATTAATTTAATTTCCATAATAAATATTTATTATAAATTTTTTTTTATAATATCTGATTTTAAAATTAACTTTTTAAAATTAATTTTAAGTAAAACAAATTAAAAATGATAATTAAGTTTTTAGAATTATTTGTTATTATATAAAAAAAAAAATATATAAAAAATAATTGTTAAAATATTTTTTATTTAATATATATGAAAATAATTATTTATTACTTTATTAGTCATAAAAAATATAAATAAATAAATATTAAGGAAAATGTCAAAAACTATGAGAAAGCGCCTTTGCATTAAACAGCATGAGTAGCAAAAGAAGCGTAATTTGCTTAAGCACCTTAAATCAATATATTAGGACAAGGAAAACATATATCAATACCTGCTACCCAATCTTCTTGTTTTTCAGTATAAAAATTAGGAGCACATTTAACACATTCAGATTTTTTATTTTCAAAAGTTGTTTTTCCATCCTTAACTACAGTACCAGCAGGACATTCAACATCACATTATATTTCTTTTTTAGCAAATTCAGCTTTATTATATACTGCACCAATAATTTTTTTTACTGGACAAGGTTTGCATGTACTAATACCAGGTAAAAATTCATTTTAATCAAAATAAAAGTTATAATTACAACTAACACATTGCCAACTAAACAAATCAAAATTAGTAACTCCATCATAAGTTACAGTTCCGGTAGGGCAAGTTGTGATACATTATTTATACTATAATGCGTCAGAACCTAAAGCTGATAAAGAACCATTAACTTTTTTTATTGAACATTCTTCGCAATGGGACATCCCCGGTTCAAAAGGAAGACCAAAGAACTCGTAAAAATGGTTATCTTTACAAAAATTGCATTCTTCGGCTTATTATACATAAACGGTTTATCCATGTTCAGTTTAAGTACCATAAGGACAATTAATGTCACATTAAACAGATAATACAGCAAAACGAGCTGGATTAGCTATGGCATCTTCTTATTTTGGAATTGGACAGACTTCGCATTCACTAACACCAGGGTCGAAATTATCACCATTATAATAATAATCAGGTTTACAGTTAACACAATTTACTGGATTACCTTAATTATCATCATCACCAGAAACATTAGTTTCAGTACCCTTTGGGCAAGGTAAAAAATTAAATTTATTGATAAATAATAAAATAATCAAAGAAATTAAAAAAGATTATTTCATTTTTTTATTTTAATAAAATATAAATATATAATATATATATTATAAAAAATTAAAAATAAATATATATTTAGAAATAATAAAAAAAAGTATAAAAATAAAAAAAAAATATTAATATATATAATATAAAATAAAAAATTTTTAAATTATTTTATATATAAAATTTAAATATATATTTATATATATTTATTTATATATATATTTATTTATAAATTATTTTATAAAAATAATAATAATAATATTACAATAAATATGCATTTTATTTATATTATAAATTTATATATATTTTTTATATATTTAAAAAATATAATAATTATGTATTATCGATCAAAATATTTTTATTTTATATAAATTAATTAAATAAAAATATTTTTAATTTTTTTGTAAAAATTTTTATAAAAAAATGACTAAATATATTAATTTTTTATAAAATTAATTATATATTTTTTTAAATATTATTATTATAATAATAGTTAAATTTTATTTCTAAAATAAGTTATTTTATTATTTTTTTTTATTGTTTTATTTTAATAAATAATTTTATTATATAAATAATTTTATTTATTATCAAAATGTAAATTTAATATAAAGCTATATTATTTAGTATAATTTTATATTATATATTAATTAATTTATTTTATATATTATTTAATTATATTTTGATTAATTAAAAACTACACTATGTTCTACGGGTTACTGAAACTAACTTAGCTGGATAAGTTGATTATGTATGTGTAAATGCATAAACATATAACAGCTATCACATAATTAGTTAATTGTAGACCACCTCACTATTTTATTAATCGGACTCCTCGTATTAATTCAGGTGAGTGCTTTACATAGCTTTTTTAAAAAAAAGATTTAATTGATTTTTATCTGTTTAAGGTGCTTGCAGCTAATATATAGACTCCTAATTTAACGTTGCATGTCCTGCTTGTACTGCATTTGCTGATGGAACAACAACTATTTATATTAGATCATAAGATAATTTATTAATTAAATAGTTCATTAGAATGTTGTGGCAATACTCCTTTTAATTTTTACATGCATATATTGTTGTAGCAACTTAAAGTTCTATAGCTTCAATAATAACCATATAATTTAGTTTGCATGTCCTGATAGTACTAAAAAGCATTTTTTTTAACAATAAATTAATTGCATTTATTCTTAAAAGCTATTCACTAATTTTATTTAGGTAAATTTATTTAAGTTATTTTTGTTTAATAGATTTTTAGCACAATTAAAAATTTATTTAGTATTAAATTTTTATATTCAAATATAATATACTCGTTCTAACTTAAATTTTTTTTAAGTTAATATTATATATTTTAAAAATAAAATACATACATTTGTAAAATCTAAGAATTAATTTTTTATTATTTGAGTGCTATAATTTATGTTTATTTAATAAATTAATTTTTTGATGTTGTTTTTACATTAATTATGTAAATAAATTATTATTTAGTTTATACATTAATTATATTTAAATTTTTAAGCATTAATTATTATTAATATTTTATTTTTGTTATAAATTTTTATTTAAATTTTATTTTAGTTATATTTTAGAAAATATAAATTTATTTATCATAATATCTAATTGTATATAAAAAGAAAACATAACATTAATAAATTTTAAAATAAGAATAATAAATTTAATATTATAGAAACATATATATTTTATTTAAAATGATAAAATAAATATTTAAAATAAAATATGAAATAATTCAAAAATAATAATATATAAAAATATATTTAATTTATATAGTATAAAAATATGATTTATGATATTTATCAAGATATTATTAATTAATTTTAATATTTTTAAAAAAATGTAATAGTAATTAATAATATAATATGTAAAAAAATAAAATTATTATACAAATTTAAATATATATAAAAAAATAAAAATAAAATATAAATAAAATAAAAATAATTAAAATAATAATAATTATAAAAATAAAATTAATTTTTGTAAATTATATTAATTATAGTAAATTATGTATATTAAAAATATTTTTTATTTATTATACTATGTTTTAGTATTAAAAAAAATTAGATAGAAAATTATTTCTTTAAATTTTTTATTTTTTAATATTATTTTTAAATTAATTATATATTTTTATACAAAAATAATATTTTTTTTTATAATAATGTTATATATATATTTTTTTTATTTATTATATAAATTTTATATATATAGTACTATTATAATTAATTATCATAATAATAATTATATTGAATAAAATCTATGATTATATTAAATAATAAAAATTTAATTTTTTCATAAATATAAAAAAATATCTTATGTTTTTTAATAATACAACTTATTTTTTTAATATAATTTAAATATTATATTTAATTTATTAAATATTAAATAAATACCAATTATTAATTTACTTATTTAATATGAATATAATTAAAATAAATAATTTTATATAAAAAAATAATGAAAATAATTTTCTTAATATTAATTTATTTAATTTTATAAATAAAATAATATCTTTTATTATAAATAATAATTATGTTAAAAAATCTTTGTTTTTTTTTAAATTATCTGATAAGTATTATTTATTTAAAAAATATAAATTATATTATAATCAAAAATTATATAGTTTATAATCTCGTCATTTTTTATTTAAAATAAAATTATATATAAATAATAATTATAAATTAATATAATTTTTTATTTATTTTAATTTCTTCACAAAAATTAAAAAATTTTATTAAAATTTTGCATATATATATAACCAAATTAACCTAACATATAACTAAATTAATTAAAATTATATAAAGAAAAAAATGTATAAATATTTTTTAATAACTTTAGTTAGATCATTATTTATTAATGAATTAATAGCTATAAAATGTAATATTGGTACAGAAACTAATATTGCTGGTGATGATGATAATAGAGGAGATATAGCAAATTGTGTTAACTGTAGAGCTAATTATTATTATAATGGTGATAATTTTATTCCTGGTGTTAGTTAATGTGAAAAATGTCCAATTTCTAAAAAGGTTGGTGCTAGACCTAATGCAGGTGGTAATGCTAGATTAGTTCTTTAATGTGATATTAATTGTCCTACTGGTACTTAAACTGAACAAGGAAATACTACATATGTAGCATAAAGAGAAGAATATAATTTTTGTAAAGTTAACCATTATTACCAGACTAAAGGATTGTTTTTCTAACCAGGTGTTGACTCATGCAATAAATGTTCAGTATAAAAAACTTCTGATTCTGAAGCAACTTTAGGTAGAAATGCATCACTAGCCAAATAATGTGACGTTTCTTGCCCTACCGGAACATCAACTAAAACTGGATCAACTAGTTATGTATCATATAAATATGAATGTGTTAATTGCAAGGCTAACTTTTATTATAATTCATTTGGCTTTTAGCCAGGTGAAAGTTCATGCGAACCATGTCAAAATAAAAAAAAAATTGGTGCTAAAGAAACTGAAGGTTTAAATGCTAAAATTGATATATAATGCGACGCTGAATGTCCTACTGGTACTGTAGTTTACGATGGAGATGCAACTTATAAAAGTGACAAATCTGATTGTGTTAAATGTGCTCCTTATTATTATACTACAAAGTAAAAAGATTGGGTAGCAGGTATTGATGCATGTATTCCTTGTCCTAAAATAGAAAATAAAGGTAGTAAAGCTAATTATCCTTAATTTGCAACTCAATCTACCTAATGCAATGGTGCTTTCTCTTAATTTTTTACATTTTCATTATTATTTATTTATTTATATATTTTGTTATGAATAATAAATAAATATTATTTAATTTATATATATTAAGTAAAAAAGTTTATAATAAAATTATATATATATATATATATATATATATATATATAAATAATATATAACATATTAACTTTATTTACTCTTTTTTTATTTAGTTTACTGATAATATTTAAAATATTAGTGATTTATTTTAGTAAATAAATTAATAAATATTGATATAATTTAAAAATGACAATATTATATATTTAAGTATTGAATAGTATTTATTTTTATATTATATATATTTCATAAGTATTTTATGAATTTTATTTTACATATTTATTTAAAATATTAATTTAGTTCTTTTATTATAAAGAGCCTTTTATTTATTCGATTTTCAATTTAAATATTTTTAATAATTTTTTATTTAGAATTTTTTTTATTAATCTATAAAAATGTTTTTATTCAAAATTATGTTAACTTAAAGCCAAACATAATTAGCATTTTGTGTTAATAATAACTTTAATTAATAAAACTATTTTTTATAATTTTAAATATAAACATTTTTTGGTAATGTAAATCATTATATTAATTATATATTCTAAATTTGAAAATATATTATATTTGATTTATGTATGTTTGGTATTATATATAAAAATCACTAATTTATATATATATATTAAAAAACTTATAATAAAGTTTTTTTATTTTATGAAAATAAAATGAAGTTTTAATATATTTTAAAATATTATATACATTTTAAAGATTAATTATTCTATTAGTTTTTATATAAAAATTATTTATTATATATAATAAATTTTTTTAATAATATAAAAATATAATGAATATTACTTACCAATAATTTAAAATATATATTTTATTTTCATATTATTATATTAAAACCAATATAGATTATTTTATTAAATTATATTTTATTTTTAAATAAGAAAAAATGAGTTATTAATTTATCATTTTATTCTAATTATTGAATAAAAGTATTGTTATTAAAAATTATATTGCTCTTATAATTTTTTATAAAATAAATTTAGTTAAAAAATATTAATTAAAATCATTTTAAATAAGATTTTTCATACATTAATAATATTTTTTTTATTGCAACTTTTATAAATACAAAAATACGATTGCATTTATTAAAAGAAAATATATAATTTAATAAATTTTTTATAGTTTAATATTTAAAAAAAAATTATTTATATATTAATATATTAATAATATTATTTAATATTAATATGGTATTTTATTAATATAATTTTTTAAAAAATCATTTAACACATTTTTTTTATTAATAAAAAAATGAAGGATTATAAAATTATTACTTGTTTAAATAAAAAAACATATTAATAAACATATAAACTATGTTTATATTATATTTAGAAATATTTTACTAAATTATTTTTTAAAATTAAAATATAATAATTATTATATTATTAAATAATTTTTATTATTTTTTTTAAAAAAAATTAATTTTAAAATACCTTTTTTTATATCAATTAATAATTTATTTAATAATAATAAAAAAATATTGTTTGAATTGAATATATAAATTATATTTTTAAATAATTTATATATTATAAACTTTTTAATTATTTGAATTAAAATAATATAAATAATTATTATTTTTAAATATGTTTTAATAAATATATATTTTTATTTAATATTTTTATTATATAAAAAATTATATAATATGATTTTATATAAAATATAAAAAATATTTTATTATAAAACTTTGTTTATTTTTTTCAATATAAACTTTAATATTTAAATTTTTATTTTTCATTATTTATTTTCAAATAAAATTAAATTTTTATGTAAAATAGAGTTTACTATTTTTTAAATTTTTTGTTGTTGTTTAAGTTAATATTATTTTTTCTATCAAATTTAATAATTTATTTATCAAAATTAAAATAAAAAACATATAATAAAAATAAAACATAAAATTATAATAATTATTTTATTTTCTTCTCAAAATATTAAGTTTTCATTTTTAAAAATAAAAAATAATTACATTAATTATTTTATTAAATTCAATATTTTCATTTACTACAATTTATTTTTTATTATATTGTAACAATAATATCTGTGAACAAATGAATAATTTTTTTTTTTCAACATTATAAATATCCGGCCGAGATTAAATATTTTTTCATATCTTTTTTTTTTTAGAAATATTAGCTGACTTGACCATACAATTTAAAATAATAAATATAATAATTTATAACCTTTATTTTTTTTTTGATGAAATTTAACATTATCCAATAGAACTTATACACTATTTTATACTTGATTTATATTTAGATTGTAATTATTTAAAGTTTTTTATAAAAAAAATATATAAATAGCTAAATCAAGTCGACTTTAATTAAAAGATATTATAGCTAAAAGCGTAATATTTTTTATTTATCTTAGTTTTTTATAAATAAATTATCAACTCGTAACCATAATTTTGAGAAATTCCTATATTTAAAGGTTTTTCATCAATAAATATTAAATAATTTTAAATTAATTTAATATTTAAATAAGTTTTTTAGTTTTATTATTTTTGTTTTTTTATTATTTATTGTTTAAATTTTAAATATCTAAAGAATAGTTTTAAGACTAAAAAACATCATATTATAATTATTAAATATAATATATTTATATTATTTTAAAATTTTGCTTTGATTTTACTATTTTCTTATTATTATTTTTTTTAATTTAATGCAAAAATTATTATATTTGCAGATATTATTATTATGTTTTTTTATTTATTTTTGTATTTAATATAAATAATTAATTTAAAAAAAAAATGCTTTACCTTATTAAATACTTAGTTTAAAAATAAAATATACTTTATAAATTTTAATCAAATTTATATATTTATTATAATAAATATTGAAATGTTATTTCATAAATTTTATTGTAATTAATATAAGTTTAATATTAAAAATTATTTTTTCAAAAAAAAAAAATATTAAAGATTTATTAATTTTATTTATATTGTATAAATTTTGTCTTATATAACTATTCTTTTTATTCTGATCTTTTATTTTAGTAAAATCAAGAAGAATATATAATAATATAAAGACACAATGTTGCTGTCAATATAATTTTTAAAATTTGATTGGATGTATATATAAATGTAAAAAAAAATATATATTTAATTTTATAATAAATTGTAAAAATAAAAAAATATCTAATAATATATAAAATAAATTATATTTTTTTTACAAGATTTATTTTAAATAAAATATAATTTTATATTTAAAAAAAAAAGATTAATTTATTATTTCTCAAAATAAGAAAATATTTTTTTTAAATTATTGTATTATTTCTTCTAATAAATAAATAAATAATTTATATATTATATAATCAAAATTTTAATTTATAAGATATAAGTATAAATAAAATCTTTTAGTTATTTGCAATATAAAATATTATTAATTGTTTCATATATCGCATTTTTAAACAAATTTTATGAATTTATTTTAAAAACAATTAAAATAATATTTTAATTATTTTTATTAATTCAATATTTATTAACTATTTAAATGATTAGCAATGTCCTGTTCTTACTGAAACTAACGTACCTCTGGATAAGCTGATGATCAATGAATGCTTGCGAATTATATAGCATTAATCCCGGAATCAGTTAATTATATAACTATCTTTTTCAATAATCCGGCTCCTTTTTTTAATACAAGTGCCTATGTTGTGTAGCAACTCAAATTACTAAGGCTCCAATAATAATCACATAATTTAATTTGCGTGTCCTGATAGAACTAAAAGGAATTTTTTTAGAACAACTTAAATGTATTTATTTATCTTTAAAAACTATTCTCTAATTTTTTTAGGTAAATTTATTTTTGTTCAATAGATTTTTAGGGCAATTAACAATTTTTTTAATGTTAAATTTTATATATTCACTTATAATATACTCATTCTAACTTAAAAATATCATAGTTTATGTTAATATTATATATTTTAAAAATAAAATATATTCATTTGTAATAAATAAAATTTAATATTTTATTATTTGAGATTATAGAAATGGAACACTATAATTTATGTTTGATTAATAAATTAATTTTTTGATTATATTATAAATTACTTATGTATATTAAATTATTATTTAAATTTTATCCATAAATTATTAATGAAATAAATAAAAATTATAAAAAAAGAAACTTAACTACATTATAAACTATCATTAATAAACTAACTTATATTTAAGAAACTAATTAAATTGTTTTTTATTTATTTATAAGTTAAAATATTCTTTTAAAATAATAAATAAATATAAAATATTTAAAATACAAAATAAAATATAATATAATTTAAAATAAAAATTTAATATAAAAATTTAAATATTAAAATCTAATATTTATATCTATAAAAATTAAGATACTATTTAATTTTTTTAAAAAAAACATATTTTTAAATATTAAAAAAATATAAAAGAAATAAAAAATTTTTAATATATAATATAATATAATTATATTTTTTTTATTATTTATTAAATTAAAAAATAATATATTTAAATTGATTATTATTTTTGATAAATTAATTTTTTATTTTATTTTAATTTATATTATATAAAGTAATATGAGAAAAAAAAATTATTTTTTAAATTAATATTTATATTTTTTTATTAAAGTATATTATAAATAAATTATTATCAATATTTATTTATTTAATATTTTCTTTTATTTTAAAAAATATTTTTTTTTTCTTATAAATTTAAAAATTGTTATATTTATTATTGTATATATACTATATTAATTTATATTTATTAATTTCTGTCAATTAATTAAAAAAAAACAATAACAATTTAATTAATATATTCAATAATAAATATATATATTTTCATATAAAATTTAATATATTATTAATTATATTGATGTGATATTTTTATATATGACAATTACATATATTTTAAATAAAATTTTTATTTAATTCAATAAAAATAAAACAAATATAAATTAATATTTTACTAATTTTTAACTATAAAATATAATATATTTTTTAATATTGATTTCGAGAATAAATATTAAAATTATAATTATTTAATTTTTATTTATCAAATAAATGATATAAATTCGAATAAATAATTTAGATTTTAAATTAATAATATTTTCATATATTATTTATTCATATATTCAAAATAATGATACAAAATTTTTTTTTTTTTATTTGTTAAATTATCTTATAAGATATATTTTTTTTCAATTAATAAAATTAAGATATAAAATAAAAGTAAATTAATAAAATTATAAATACATTATAAATTTATTGATAAAAAAACATATGAATAATAATTATAATTAAAATTATTTTTATATTTTTTTTTTTGAATTTGTATTTATATATGACAAAATTAACTATAATATATAACAAAATTAATCACAATTTTATTAAAAATAAAAAATGCAAAATAATTATATTGATATCTTTGATTATTTTATTATTTATCAACAATTTAAAATCTTAAACTTGTTTATAGGGTACTGAAACTAATGTTGCTGGTGAAGATAATTCTCTAGGAGATCTAGCAAACTGTGTTAACTGTAAACCCGATTATTATTTTAATGGTGATAATTTCATACCTGGTGTTAGCGAATGCGAAGAATGTCCAATTCCAAAATTTGAAGATGGATAAGCCAATGCAGGTGGTATTTCTAGATTAGCTGTTTAATGTGACATTAATTGTCCTGATGATACTTAAACTGAAAATGGTGATACTGTTTATGTATCATAAAAAGAAGAATATAGTTTTTGTTAAGCTGACTATTTTTTCATTATCGATGAAATTGATTTTTAACCAGGTGAATCCGTTTGCTATAAATGTTCAATAAATAAAGCTTCTGGTTCTTAAGCAACTTTAGGTTCTGAAGCTTCAATAGAAAAATAATGTAACGTTGTTTGCCCTACAGGAACAACAACTGAAATAGGAGATTCTAATTATTAATATCATAAAAATGAATGTGTTTATTGTAATAGTAACTTTTATTTTGATTCGAATAGCTTTTTAGCAGGTACTAGTACATGCAAACCTTATCCAGTAAATAAAGTTGTTGGTGCTATACATACTTTAGGTTAAAATGCTAAAAAAGATGTATAATGTGATGTTAAATGTCCTGCTGGTACTGTAGTTAAGGATGGAAAAACAACTTTTGAAAATGATAAATCTGAATGTGTTAAATGTGCTCCTAATTTTTATACTGCAAAGCCTAAAAGTTGGGTAGCAGGTATTGATAAATGTTCTCCTTGTCCTAATATATTAATTTAAGGTGCTTAAGCAAATTATCCTGCTTCTGCTACTTAATGCAGAGTTGTTTTTTCATAATTTTTGAAATTTTCCTTATTATTTATTTATTTTTATTTTATATGATGAATTTATATTAAGTATTACATATTTTAACAATAATTTCATATATAATGTTTTTTTTAAGCAAATAATAAATAACATAAAATTTAATATACTCTTTTAAATTTATTTTACTTGAAATATTTTAAAAATTTTATTTTGAAATCAGTGATTAAAAAACAATTTTAATATAAGTTATATATTTTAGTAAATAAATTAATAAACATTGCTTTATTTTAATTTGTATATAATTTAAAAATTACAAATAATATATATTTAATTAAGGAGAAATGTTATTTTTAATTTTGTATATATCTATTTCATTAATACTTTATTACTTTATTGAATTTTATTTTTGATTGCCAATAAAATTTTAATGTGGTTTAATATTTTTATTAAAAAAAGTTTTATTTGTTAAATTTAAAAATTTTAATAAAATTTATATTTTTTTTTTATTATAAATTTATAAAAATGTTACTATTCAAAATATAAATTAATAGAAAAAATATAAATAATGTTAATAAAATATTAATTAAAATAAAAACAATTTTGCTATTTTAGTCAAAAAAAATTCATTTTTTATTAATAAAAATCATTAAAATATATATGAAGGCAATAAATTTATAAAATCAATATATTAAATATAAAAATATATTATATATCTAATTAATTCAACATTTTTTTTTATAATAAAAAGATAAATTTATATATAATAATTTTTATATATATATATATATATATATATAATAATATATTTATCTATTTTTTATCTTTTTAAATATTAAATAATTTATATTATATTTTTATTTTTAAAATATAGTTTTAAAAAAATTATAAATAAATCAAAATTATTAATAATTTATATATTTTTAATAAACTAAAATAATAAAGATTACTTTTTAAAATTATTATAAAAAAAAATATTTAATTTTTATTTATATGTATTAAAATAATTTAAATTATTCTATTTAATATTTTTAATATAAATAAATAAAAATTTATTTTAGTAAATATTATAAATATTTTTAATAATATAAGAAAATAAATTATAATTTATATATTTATTATAATTATTTAAAAAAAATATTGTAATCAAAAATATTTACTAAATATCTTTTATAATCAAATGTTTTACATTTGTTTTATAAAATAAATTAAATTAAAATATATTAATTAAATAATTTAAAATAAAATATTCTATATTTTAATAAAATTTTTTTTTATCTCAACTTTTATAAATATACAATTATGATATCTTTTTTATAAAAAAATGATTATATTTATTATTATTTTATAATTAGTATTTTTTAAAAAAGTTAAATTATTGTTAACAAAAACACTAAATATCAATTAATAAATATTTAAAAAAATAAATATAAATTAATTGTTTATATTAAATATAAAAAAATTAGATTTTATTTAATTAATTAATTCGAATATTATAAATTTTAATAATTTTTAATTTAATTCTTAAATATTTTAAAATTACGTTATCATAATTTAAATATATTTTAAATACATTTTTTACTAAAATAATTAATATTTTTATCTTTTTTAAATTTAAGTAAAAAAAAAATAAATAAATAAAGTTTATACTTTATATTAATTACAAAATATATTAAATTTTATAATATTTTTTTTATTATTTTTAAAATATATTTTAAATTAAATTAAAAAAATTATTTTTAATTATATTTAATATTAATTTAATTTATATTTTATTAAATTATTTTATAAAAATTTGTTTTTCAATTTAAATGTTTAAATATATATGTTTTTTTATAATTATATTGAAATGATTTCTTTGCTAAAATATGTTATATAATTAATATAATTAACAAAAAAAATATATTATAATAATACTATAAATTTTATATTACTATAATAAATATGTATTATTAATAAAATATTAGATATATGTTATTATATTAAAAAATTTTAAGGTTTGATTAATATAAATATAAATATAAATATAAATATAAATATAATAAATAAAATATTACATTAATATAAAATTATTATAATATTAATTTTTTTAATATGTATATATATTAATATTTTATTAAATTAAATATTAAAAATATATTTTTAATATTTACTAATTAGAAAATTTATAATTTTTTTTTATTATATATATATACTTTTTTTTAAAAGAAACTTTTTAATTTAATTTTTATTAATTTTCTTTATATCTTATTTTAATTAGTTTATTTAGATAAAATAAGTTTAAAATAAAATAAAATTAAGTCAATATTTAATAAAAATAAAAAAATATTTATTTATATTTTTTAAAAATAATAAATAAATTATATTTTTATAACTATAAAAATGCCAAAAAATTTATTGATAAAATTAAAAATAACATAGATTTATAAGAAAATATTTTAAAAATATCCTAATATAAGTTGTGTTTTTATATAAAAGGAGAGGTAACTTTAAAAATTTAATTTTATGATTATAAATTATGATTTTTAACAATAACTATTCTGAATAAATTAATAATATTAAATAAATATTTTTTTATTAATCTATATTTTAATAAAATTAATTATTTAATAAAAATATTATACGATTTTAGAAAGTTTAGATTATAAAAATAAATTAATATTTTAATTCATATATTTTGATTATTAGAAAATATATTTAATATATTTTACTATATACATATAATATTTCTTTAATTTTAAATTTTTAATTTTATTTAACACATTAATGTTTTCTTATTAAAAATATTTTTTTTATGATTATTTAATATTAAAAAGACTAAAAATGATAATAAATATATGTTTTAAAAAATATATATTTAGCATAAAATAATTATAGCAATCACATGTTTGTTATATTAAAAATTAATTTTAATAATAAATAATATAAATTTTATAAATATAAATCCGATTATTGTATTTTTTTTATTTATAAATTATAATTATAGTTAATTATTTATTAAAAATAAATTAATATTTTGCAAAAAAAATAATAATATATTTTTATTAATTATTATTGTTTTTAAATATTTATATATATAAAAACAAAAAAATCAAGTATAATATATTATATATATATTAAATTAACATAACTATTTTATTTCAAAAATAATAATAATAATATTCAGGACTCTAATAAAAATGAAAGATAATTAATAAAAAATGTTATTTTACTATACTATATTATAATAAGTTTTTAAATAAAATTATATTTAAGAAAATAAAACTCTAGTAATTATATTTGATAAATATTAAAATTAAATTTAACAAATTTTATTGTAATTAAAATAAGTTCAGTATTAAAAAGTAATAATTCAAATAAAGTAAATATTAAAGAATAATTAATTATATTTATTATATATAAATTTTGTGCTGTGTAAATAATCTCTTTATTCTGACCATTTATTTTATAAAACCAAGAAGAATATATAATAATATTAAGATACAAAGTTTCTATCAATATATTTTTTAATATGTGTATGTATATAATTATAAAAAAAAAATTAAATAAGATAGTAAATCAGGTATTAAGCATTGTTAAATTATCATACTAAAATAAAAAAATATAGTTAATTTTAAATAAATTATTTATAAAAACTTAAATATATAATATTTAAAAATAAATTATTTATTTTATTTAAGATTTATTTTAAATAAAATATAAATTTATTTATAATAAGAAAAATTAATTAATTAATTATTTCTCAAAATAATAAAGCAATCTTATTAAAGTTAATGTATTTTTTATTTTTTTTAATAAATATAGCAAAATAAATCATTTTATAATAAATTATTAAAATTTTAATCAATAAAATAACAAATACTAAAAAAAAAAAAATTTTTGAGTAATTTACAATAAAAAATATTATTAATTATATCATATGTCGCATTAATTAATAAATTATAGGAATATGTTTAAAAAAATTAAAATAATATTTTAATTTTTTTGATTAATTCAATATCTATTAGCTATTTAAAAGCTGATAATGAAACTAATGTAGCTGAATAAGCTGATGATTGAGTAGTTCTTGCAAATTATATAGCAGTAATCCCAGAATTAGTTAATTGTATATTTCATTTTTTCAATAATCGAGCTCGTCTTTTTAATGCAAGTACGTGTTCATACATAGCTTGTCCAATAAAAAGATATATATTGGCGTGTACCTATTCAAGGTGCCTTTGCTAATATAGATAAATAATTTAACTCAGAATGTCTTGCTCGTACTGCACTTCCTTATGGACACATAATGTATTAATTAAATTGTTTATTTTTACTATAGTGGTTATACTCATTTCAATGCAGGTATACTGCATGTACAGATAGTCAGATAATATAGCTGCTGATGTTGCTGTAGCAACTCAAAGTGTTAAGTCTTCAATACTAACCACATAATTTAATTTGCATGACCTGATAGTACTAAAATTAAATTTTTTAGAAAAAAATTAATCGTAAAATATAAAATTAATTTTTTATTATTTGAAATTAAAGAAATTGAATATTATAATTTATATTTATTTAATAAATTAATTTTAAGTTGATTTTTTTGTATTACTTATGTATATTATATTATTAGTAAAATATAAAACATAAATTATTAATTACTTTATTAAATATTTTAAAAAAAGAAACTGAACTAAAATATAATTTATCATTAATAAACATACCTAAATTAAAAAAACTAATAAAATTGTTTGTTATTTATGTATAAATTTAAATATTCTTTAAAAATAAGAATATAAAATATTTATAATACATACTAATATAATATATAAAATAAAACATAGAAATAAATATATTATATTATATTATATATATATATATATATATTTTATAAATTATATATATAATAAAAAAATAATATATTTGATAATATTATTATTTTTATATATAAAAAAATATATACTTTATTTTAATTATTAAAAATATTAGAAGATAAATAATTATTTAATTATATTTCTATTATTATTTTAAGTTAATTATAACAATTAAATATAAAAAAAAATTATATTTTATTTTTTTTAATTTAGAAAATAATTATT